TTCCAGGTATAAATCTGAATGCACAATCCTGTGGGGTAAATTTAACAGAGAGCTAAATGCATGGGATAGAAATCAAATGTGGAGGTTGACAGATTTAGGTTACAAATGTTCAAGCTTTCCAAACCAACAGTTAAGCTGCACATCTTTACGGATGACTTCACACTAATACTCACACTCCAAAGCATGGTGTGCAGTACGAGTCCACGAGGGCATGCTTCTTGTTAAAGCCCATGCCCTGACCCCCCGCAGGTCATTTTGGATCTCCCAGTGTCATGGTGCAGCCCACATCAGCAGCCAAACCCTGCACAGAGCTGAGGACATGTGAGTGTGGCACATTAGGAAATAAAATAAACAGACGTAATTGCTTCGCAGACAGCAAGGCTTTGGAGGAACCACAGAACCTGACCCACCATTAAAACCATATGTTGTTTTGGCTGTTTGTGTTTGGATTAAACAAACGAGATAACGTGTTAATTACTGAGCTTTAGAGGTGCCGGTAAGAAGATTTATTTTGCTCACAGAGAGCTGAGCTACTTGTTTCCTGTCTTCATTTAAAGCTGAACATCTTTTTGGCTACAACTTTAAATTTACTGGCTAAGTTATGGGTTATTGATTTTTTTTTAACCTAACTTATAGTCCTGTGCAGAATTCTTTCGAGAAAAGCACATTTGTTTTATTTAAAATAACACTTAGCCCACTGATTATCCCTGTGAAAGGCTGGTGTACCCCTCCTCTCGCCTAGTGATAGCTGGGATAGACTCCAGCTGGACCGGTGCTGCTGCTTAAATGTTTTTAGTTGAGTTTAGAGAGTATCAGTGTTTGTGGGTTAAAAATGGGCCACATAAGCAGCACAATAGTGTGTACTACTCCTTCCACAGTACTCCAGTGAAACTAGAAAGAGAGGTAGTGCACATTAGTCCATAAGTGACCACTTGAGAAATGGATCCCTCACAGGACCTCAGCAGACAGCGCCATTAAATGTACCTGTAAGAGCCACAGTGCTGGTTTTTAAAGCGCCAACTACACAGTGTTGTAGGAAAACTTTACTTTTTTCCCGTGAAATAGTTTTAATTTCTTAGAAGAGGATCACTTCCAAAAGACTTATTTTTGGAGGTGATTTCGAGACTATAATTAAAGCCATAGAGGTTGATGTGCCAGACACTCAGCAAGCCAAAGGCATTACACAACAGTTCACAGCTCCGCTAACACGATCACTTAGACTTTTAACGCCGCGTGCCGCTGCAACACGAGACTGTTGCTGAACAAAAGGACCTTTGCACATCTCTGCAGATGCAAACAGTTCACAGTGAATGATTCCAGTGTTCATAAACAGCGTTTTACAGCATCTCTGATCAATTCCACATTATTTACAGTTAAAGAAAATAAGTATGTCAAACGTACTTACAAATCAAAGTTGACTATGTGAACTTTTTTGTTTTGAATGGTGAAAACACACCTACTGTTGGATGTATGCAGTAAAAGTTCCCTCATCTGGAAAAACACAGGTTACATTTGGTGAACGGACAGAAGTTTTCTGGTGTGTCTTTAAGATTCTTCAGCTTTTAGTTTCAGATTGAACACATAATTGTTACATTTAAATCACATTAAACTACATTAAAGTCTTCTCTGATTCAAGATGTTCGCAGATTCTGGTCGAAAACTGATTTTCCTGTGAACAAAATTTGGTTTTCATTTGCCGGTGAGTTTGTGTAATGAACAATTTAGGGGAGGAAATGAGGTCAAACATCATAAACGGAAGCAAGAAGTAAAAATTTCAACAGTTTTGATGATGTCTCAAATTGGCACCAATTTATCTCCATTCACAACCCAAAGAAACGTAAATATACATATTTTTTTTAAATTTTCAACCTGATTTTTTGAAGCTGCAACTTTCACTGAGCATTGAACTCATGGCAGACAAAAGGGCAGCGCTCTGACCATCATTCAGCCTTGATTGCTTAATCCTGTAACACCGAGTGTCATATTTGATACACGAGTTTTTAAGATCTCTACATCTCCGAGGTGAGGTAAATTGCCCGATAGAATTTTAAGCATTAAATGTCAATGTAGCCAATATAAGTAAAACTCATACATGCAAGTTGTTTATTTTTTTTAATTGTCAGACATTTGGATAATCACTCTGTTAAAGCTCCACAGGATTAATTTTCTTAAATATATTATATATTTTAACTTTTTTTAAAAAATTGCAACTTTTCAATGTGCAAATCCCTCTTTTGCACTATTTAAAATGACTGTAAATGTGAAAGAAAGACATTCAGGGAGCTGTTTTTTAACATCGAGCTTGTCGTGTTGAAAGGAGATCAATAGCACTCTCATAGCTGTTTATTCAAACAGGAGACGTTAGCTTGGTGTAAAGATCGGAAACGAGAAAAGCATTACCCCGACTCTCTCCGAATCGTATCTGCTTACAGGCACATTTAAAGCTCTGATCATCACCACGGTTTTCATAATCCCGCCCCTGTATACCGCAGCAGTCTATAAAAATGTCTGTAACTCCTAAATAATTAACAAATTATTGTTAGAGCAATTAAAGTCGGCACATCTTGATTGATTTAAAAAGGTCTGTCATTCTCCAAACGCACATACACAAGCCCTCCTGCGACAAACTGCAGCACTTTCCTTACACTTTGCTCTCCAGTTTGTCCCAGTGCTGCCTAATGACGAGCTCGCTCTGACTGTTCTTCCTACCTGTGTTTGCCACGTGCATTATTAATACAGGCGAGATATAAGTCAGGTTAGAGCTGTCAGGTGTTCTTACCATGTTTCTGTCTTCCAGGTCCAATGTCAACTACATCCCTCCACCCCAAGAAGTAAGTGTTTGTTTTCAGGTTTGCTTCTTTCCCTCTCACTTTGCCTAAATGTAGCAGTTCGCACTTCCCGGATGTTTGATGTGTGTGTGTGTGCTTTTTAATTTAAATCATCAGTTTATTTAGCAAACATTAATACTTGTTTTGTGTCCCTCTTCTCAGCCCCAGGATTTTAAACACACACAGTCGTTCATGCTCTGAGAAGCTGGTCTTCCTCTCCAAAAACAAAACACAAAGAAAAAAAAAGGTGATAAGGTGCCAACACTGGATTCTGATTTTGTTTCGGACTCAGAACGAGCTCTTGATCTTCCAATACGTGCTAATTTCAATCTTTATTCCGCCGCCAATCCTTCCGGATGGTTGATGTCAAGCAAATCTGCAAGGCTTCTTTACTCTCTGGCTTTGCTGTGTATTCGCCTCTTACATTGATGTCTCCTGCTATTATGGGATTAAGTACAGTTTCATGGTACTCTGCTCCCCCCTGGTGGTCAGATGTTGAATTTGCAATTGATCTTTTTTTTTTTTCAGTATAAATTTCTAAGGCTAACTGCTTTAATTACTCAATTTTTATTTTTTACCAAAGACTGATGTTTAATTTGATAGATTTCTTGTCTTTAAAAATTTAATCATGACAGGGAATTCTCCTTAAAGCCATAAGGGAAGCATCTCAGTTGTTTTCAATAAAACTACAGCTTACCTCAGTCAGTATTTCGTCTTCGACACTGGGACCACTCGTGATCTTAGTAAGAGCAAGAAGCCACTTAACAATAACGCTGAGGACAACCCCATTCCATCCTGATGTGCCTGCATGGTCTTTTTTATAAATATACATATATACTATATACCTTGTGCCTTTTTAATTTGTCTGTCTGTCATATTTATCTATGGATCACAGTTCTTTTTTTGTAAAAAATTTGCCTTACTTTTTTCTTTATATGTCTTTATATTTCTGTGCCACTGATTATCAAATGGAGTGTCTGTTTTTAGGCTGTGTGAATGACTTCAGAGTTTTATTTGAATAGTGTATCAGTAATAAAGTTTTTTCTACTCAAGCCCATGTTTGTTATTACCGTGTTTCCAATGGTGGAAAGAATGCAACACGAGAAGTAGCTGCGTATACACTAGAGGTGGCATGTTGCCATTTATCGCTCTTCAAAACCACAAGTTACGTCAAGTTATCTCACATGTTGGGGGGTTGGCAACAAAATGAGATTTTCAAGCATAACACTGTCACTAAAACCTGCCTGTAAGGCAGTCTGCTATCAGTCTGAGAGTGAATGGGGTGAAGTTTGCAATTACATGCAATCTGTTTCTGATGGTACAGCAACTACCTGTGATAAATCACTGGAAATTACACATCTGGTGTCGTCTACATGGACAGAAATTCACCTTTGACTTTCACATTTGTGCTCAGTACACTTTCCGATCTCCACACTTTGCAATCACAAGTGGGCACGAGTAAACAACAAAAGCCACTGAGTTTTTATTTTGTAGATGTAAGGAGGTTGCTGTCCTGGCTTTATTCCTGTGACTGAGCTGCTAGCTAGCTCAGAATTAGCAGGTAGCTTTGTCGAGGTAAATGCATCCAGTGTTGGATGGTTTAGCAGTTTGCTCAGCTAATGTTATAACTTTTAATTGACTTAATAAAAGACCAATATTTGGTGTTCCTTTACCGATACGATATCATCAGGCAAAATATTGTGATACTACACTGTATTGATTTTCTGCGCTGCCTATAAAATCCTGTAAACAACCATTAACTTGCACTTCCAAAGCCAGTTACTGATGCAAACCCCATGTTTGTACACTGTAGTAACCAGCTACCTACTAAAGCATCATCTCAAAGTCCTTAAGCATTTGCTGCCACTTTTTATATCCATGTTTGATCAGAACCAAACGTCACTCGCTTTATCACCATCTTTACATCAGCTTGTGCTTTTATCATCCCTGCCTGCCTTTACCAGCTGCTACACTCAGGTGTTACATTAATATAGATATGGATGTGTTTGAGTAGTTTTTAGAGTAACAGCACTTCTCCCACCGCTGCAGTCAGCACAAGCATCAACCTGACAGGAGGAATTATTCATGACTTCTACTTAAAGTGACAAGAACGTGTAAATCTAAGTAAGTGGACTGCAGATTTATCAGACAATGTGGAAAACTGGTAGTTGCATTATTGCTTTATTCGTCAAACTAACTGCATCATCTCTTATAATGCTCACAGTCTCTGCTGTATTCCCATAGATGGCTACAGTGAAGTGCAGCGGCCTCGGTCAGCAAGACTTTACATTAATCTTTCAAGTGATAATCTCCCAGCAGACCTGTTCCCTCCCAGACAGGTTAACTAAATATTTCCAGAGTTGCTTTTCTCCCCCTCTGTTTATTCTAACAGAATAAACAGCAACATTTTTAACCCACAGCCATGACTACATGCACTTCTGTTTCTTTTCAGTGTGTTTAATGAAGTCGTGCACTGCTTGAAATCACAGCGGTAGATGTTGGTACATTTTCTGAGCGCAGCTTTAAAGGCTGGCTGCACAGTCTAAAAAATTTAGGCACCAGGTCAGACAGAAACTTGCCCTTTCTGATGCTATTTTGGGGTTTCAAAACATTCATCACGACAAGGCTTAAATGCATCGCTGACCTTGTCATAACGGGGAACGCTCAAGAACGGTGCAGATTGACAGCCAGTTTGCATCTAGGTCAGCCAACATTTGGCTTGCTGCTTTTTGGATATCTACATATAAATTAAAAAATTAAATTAACTGTGCCTCACCATATGTTCTGGGAGTGTCACTGCAGCTGGATGTCTTTCAGTATTTCTAATCAAACCTCCTTCGAGTTCTGAGCTTGTTTGCATTTGTCCAATGCGACAAACGGTTATTTGAGGGAAACTGCTAATAAACATTTTTCAGCTCCAAAGGAAAAAGTAAATAATGTTGACATCTTTAGCCTTTAATAGTAGCCCGGGGACAGATTTATAGACATGCAGAAAATGTGCAGGCCTAGTTATACAAGTTCCTAAGCAGCCCTCATTTCCTGGCACAAATTCATGGTTTGAGGGCTCCAGACTGTTTGAGTGTCTGGAAATTAATCATTCAGATTTTTAGGTCCAGATTTTACTACACAGCCTCAAACACAACATATTTATAGAGTCACAAAGAGCTCGTAGTTTAGTCCACAATCTTTTTTATTAAATACAACATTTTGTGACAGGTAGGAGATACACAACATGGACATCATTCACTTGCCACCCTCGTCAAACTTCGGCTCTGCAAAAAAAGAGACAAGATGGAAAAAAATGTGAATCATTTCCTCGTGCACTGCAATATTGGTGATTATTCTGACATCTAAAACAAAAATAAAGGTATAGAAATATACAAAAACTGGCTACTATTAGCTTCATCAAAAACACATTGAAGTTAAAAAATAAAATCTTTCTGACCCAATTTCAAGCAAGTCATCTGGCTGTGTTTGATGACAACATCTACGCTATTTATAGACCCAAGACTCAAATCACAGACTGCCTCCTCTGTAGCAAAGGCATAAATATTTATGAAGGGAACAACTGTGGCATAATAAGCACATGCCATTGTCACTGTAGTCCTGCGCCTTCTCGACAATCAGTAACAAAAGGCAGTTTTGACCATAAAATAACATGTTTTAGGCATTTGCTTAAATAACACAAAACAAGAACGACCGCATTACGTCACTAACCCAAAGATTCATTTAAACTGGAAAGAAACAAATCAAAACATTTTTACAGGCTTAGTGCCTCCAGTGCTGTAGTGGCAAGCGAAAGGTCGCTGGTTCACCTCCAGAGACACAAATCCCCTTTGAAATGAAGTGCTGTGGGACCTACCCACTGTGGCGACCCCTTGTGGCAAGGGAACCTTAAGTGAGAAATATTTTTACCTAAACTGTAACTACAGTATTAAAGACTATTCAGCAAACTGCACTTGCTGAGCTGAACATGAGCCCAAACAGACCTGTGAATTTGAATTCAGGGAACTTGTTGAGGTCTCCTCCTCCATATAGTCTCTGCAGTTTGATTACTTCTTCACCCAGGTTCTTCTGATAAGCCGGACCTGCATCCACAATGCCACCAGCAGTCCTGGGAGAGCAAAGGCATCAAAAAAATGTTCAACATTCTGAGCACGATGCCAGCAAGAGGAGGAGATGCTGTTTGAACAGATGTTAGTGAAGTGCATGCCAGAGCACACCCAAAGGACATTTAAAGTTAATGTTTTGCCAACGGCTGACCTCTGAGCTGGAAGTCTGTTTGGTAAACTTTATTCAAACTTGTCTGTCAGTGTCTGGAGGTATCACCAACTCACTTGGCCTTGCTGTTGTAGTCACGGATCTTGTCCAGGAACAGTTTCTGGACGGGGTCGAGCTCCTTGGCCCGCTGGAAGAGGACAGCAGAGATGCCGATGTTCCTGCGCAGGGTCAGGCTCACGGCAGAGCGCAGCACGGAGGACAGCTGGAATAACCGGTGCAGAGCCATCTGAAGGAGCCAAAGCGTCGAGTTTGGGTGACATTTAAACTGATTTTGGACGAAATGTGCTGGTATAAAGTACCCTGAGGGCTTGAAATTACACCCCTCAATAAGTGATAAACGCATTTTATTTTTCTGCGTGTTTAAGTCTTTAATTCCCCTTTCTCATGGACATGTTTGCTATCTTTTACTAATCCCCTATCAATCAGTACCACTAGCTGCCTTTAGCATTAGCTAGTTCACGTCAAAGGCAGAGCATAGCTAACTAGCACACTCAGTTTGCTGCTAACCCAAACACCCAGTCTATAGAAACAGAGTTACTATAACTACAAGATGTTAGATCGGCTTTACTGAGTTGCTGCTTGCTGGTCAACACTTGACGTTTCCTTCATTCAAATGACAAAACAGCGGCTTATGCTAACATGCTAGGCTAGCTTTAGCTGACACTAGGGAGCGTTCGGACATTTTTATACGGTTTGATGTGCCGCGGTGTGTTACACCACCACTCTCACCAAACGCACCACCGTGCACGTACCTGTGTACGCAGAGCGTCGTGACAGAAGAGGTGAAGTTAAATGTTTGATAGCTTTTCTTTTTAAGACACCGTACTCACCTTGGATTTGACACCAAGAGCAACAGAGCCAAATGTGAAGGACCGCGGTGAATTGTGGGAGTTCGTTGTTGACAGGAGGCGTTCGCGAACGTCAAGCATTAACTCTATATGCGCAGGACTGCGCACGCTCAGTTTGATCTCAAATTACAGTCGAAAAAGGTCAACGAAGTTTGACTTAAAATGACTAACAGAAGCATTTTTTCTAGCTAAATTAAAGTGACCTAGTTGTAAATGACTCTTTCTATTGAAAATCTCTATTATGGCCTTCTAATTTTGCAGTTTGGGCCGTGGAAAAATGTTCGTTTTATCACATTAATGCATTTTTCTTGTTAGTTTACTTCTCGCCGAATTCCACCTTCACGAATGTAACTTAGCTATTGTGTTTATGGAGGAAAAGTCTTGAGACGCCCCTATCTGTCTTCAAATCTTGCTGTAAAAACTGGAAATAGTTATAATCAGTTTTATTCTTCATCACAGTCTGAGCTCTCTCTGGCATCTTTCTTCTCATGTCTTTAAGTAGGTTTCAGGAATAGTTCTCCAGGCTTCATGGAGGACATTCAAAGCTTTTCTTTTTTGTTCTGTTCGTAGTCAAGATGATCCCACACTGCTTCAATAATGTTGAGCTCTGACCATGACTGATAGTGTTCATTGTGCATCTTGTCTTTTTAGGTCTGTTTTTATTGCATTGGCAGCGTGTTTGGGATCACTGTCATGCTGTAAAATGAAGCCGCTGTCAGTCATACACTTTTCAGATGGTAACATAATGGATGAAAATCTGTTCTGTCAGTATTGACAAGCTCTCCAATGCACTAGTTGAATTCAGCACCAAACCATGACAAAGCCTCCACGGTGGTTGGACACACTGACCTCCACTGTACACACGGACAACAATTTGAACAAAAAAAAATACACGTTTTGGATTAGTCACCCCATCAGACTTG